CCTCCGACCTACCAGCGATGGCCTCCAACCTACTAGCGATGGCCTCCGACCTGCCAGCGATGGCCGCCTCCAACCTACAAGCGATGGCCTCCGACCTACCAGCGATGGCATGGCCTCCAACCTACTAGCAATGGCCTCCGACCTACCAGCGATGGCCTCCAACCTACTATAGCGATGGCCTCCGAGCTACCAGCGATGGCCTCCAACCTAGCGAGCGATGGCCTCCAACCTACTTGCGATGGGCCTGGGGTGCCTCCAACCTACTAGCGATGGCCTCCGACCTACTATAGTGGTGCCTCCAACCTACTAGCGATGGCCTCCGACCATCTCCGACCTACTAGCGGTGCCTCCAACCTACTAGCGATGGCCTCGACCTACTAGCGGCGGCCTCCAACCTACTAGCGATGGCCTCCAACCTACTAGCGATGGCCTCCAACCTAAGTCTTTTTGGGGGAAATAGGATAGGATGCTAGGATGCTCGTTGGCAAGATTCGAGACTTTTTGTGATTTGCATGATGATTGCTCTGACAATGGGGGCAGGAGTATTTCATAGTCATAGTATTTCTTTCTCAAGCTTGAGTTGTTGGGATCCTTGAAGGAAACCACAGGCTGGGTGACTCCAAAACATGGCCTGTGTGGGTGATCTGCAAAATCAACGCAGATATTTGGGGAAGATGGGGGAAGGCCGGGGTCTTCACCAAGCAAACAGCTCGAACCCATTTTGGACATCCCCAAGGTTGGACAGACAATGAGAAAAAGGGAAGTTCACTTGTCTATATCAAAGGGGGCTTTTGAAAGCTGGTGCGCATTTTGTGGTGTCACCATCCACGGGGTTCCAGGTCACCCAACAGTCAATGCCTGAGGACCCCATGAACATTGGAAACCGGCCCTAGGAGATCTTGCAGCCGCATCGCTCGGAGCTCTGAAGTGATGAAAGACCCTTTTAGCCCTCGTGTTTGCAGTCGGAGGATGTCGGAATGCTGCTCCCCACGAGTGTGAGCTGCATGGCTGGAAGAGACTTGCAACAAAAAGAGTTTGAAGACCACCTGACCTAAACCTGGTAACGGGTCAGAGTGCTTGCCAGCTTTTAGTGACTCAATTAGTGAATTAAGATGTTCCTTGATTTCAAGGTTGTGCCAGTCTCATTGGCAATGGCCAATGACGACTCCCTTGATCATGGTTTGACTCTTTATATAGAGACACTCATATCATATCTGGCTGCTTAAGGCGTGTTTTCAATGAGTCAATGTGTTCTGGCAGGCCTCCAAGGATGAGGATGGAAAGGAGCGACCCGCGCTCGGGGCCACAGTCGGACCGGAGAAGTCGGGTCCGGAGCTTGTGTCCCTAAGCCGGGCAGGCATCGGGTTGCAGTGGGGAACCAAGTCAACCGAAGCTGAGAAAACGGAAAACCGCCGGTTCAACGGCACTGGGAGAAGCGACAATCAGTCGGCCGGGGGTCGTTGCAAAACTGGCACTGTATAACTAACTGCTGGTATTCGAGAATCTGAACACCTACTTCCGTGCAAAGGGGCCTTATATATGCCGATTGAGTCGTGATTGGCGGCATCCCCTATTTTGCAACCCCAGCGATTTATATTCTGGACATGTATTTGCCAAGATTCACCCAGCGAAGGCTATAGAATGGGCCAGCCAAAGACAATTTACCTCCAAGTTGTTTCAAAGGGACTTCTTGACGACGAATACTGCAAAACAGTCGTATTCAACCTCATGCTGCGTGCGTTGGGGACATCTAAGATCTAGAGGCCGAGCTAGTACATCCACAGTCCCAAAGAATCATATCCTAGATCCCTTGCAGATCCCTAGCAGAGACTTCCATCGGACTGGTCAAATTCCGGAACCCCTTCTGTGAACTCAGACTTTTCCCAAATCGACGACTCGGCAGCGAGGCTCCAGGACCGTAGACCGCTATAGTGCGACCGCCTCAACCGGCCGGCGCCGACGCTCTCAGGATAGAGGTGATTGATGCCCAAGCGATTCAGGAGACGGCGGTCCGGTGCCCCGAGACGAGGAAAAGACGGAGCATGGCCGTTGCGACGTTGCGACGCTGAAGAGACATAGTACTGTATCTTTTAATGACCACATCCATCAATATCCTATATCACACGCACTGGGAGGTTGAAAGCTGTTGGAATTGGTGATGCCGAAGTGTGTGCAGAGTTCAGCCGTTTCCATGGCTATGTTGTCACAGAACTTTGCATGACCTGTGAGGGGAGGCTCTGGGATCCAGAGCGCCAATGATTTAAACAACACGTCAGCAGTCAGCATCACCTTTGTGGTCGAACCGGATCAAGAGGAAGTCGAGTGGAGACATCTAATTACTTCCCAGGTTCGAATCATAGGTGGGGCATTCAAACATTTCAAATCATTTGGCCATTTCCACATCCTTTCCAAAAAACAGCACATTGGCTTGTTCACTGGGCAATTTTGTGTTGGTTTGCTAAAAGGATTTGAAGACTCTTTGCTTCGCTTGCTTCGCTTGCTTCGCTTTCCGAGCGCACCGTCCAGGCGCGCACCGTCCGCGGGGCCCAACAAATCTTCGGGAACCTCACCGGTTGGGTGCGCGAGGCGTGGTGATCCGGTGGATCCGACACGGAACAGGAGCCCCGATCGTAGCGTTCTGCCCCTAGTTATATAGCGTGTCATTTTTTTGTAAAGGGTAATGATTTCTGCAAAGGAACGCTCTTTTACGTTCTTCCTCGCTGCTGATTGAAGGTCGTGACAGCTAGTGAGTGAATTTGCGTGGAATGGACACATGTCACATGTGCCGTATGCAACGTAGCCTACGAGTCACACCCAGCTGCTGCGTCGGCGGCAGCCTGTAGGCCCAATCCGCCGTGGCCGACTCCCTTTCTGGCCTGGCAGAGGAGGGAGGTGGGACCGCATCAGTTGGAACATCTGAGAGAAAGCATCACCAGTTGGAGGTCGAGCCGCACAGCTATCCAATTGACTTTCCTTCAAGACCATCAATCAGATTTTTAGTCTTAAATTATATACATAGAGCATGGATGCAAGTCTTCCAACCTCAAAGGTCCATTTTGGCACGTCAAGAAAAAGGCAATGGAACCCTTTGCAAGGCTACAGCGGAATTATTGTAGTATCAAATTCATTCCATATCATTCCTAAAAGGCGTTTGAGGAGCCCCGTAGTTAGTTCAGCAATTAAGGCTCTACTGCTACTGAGGTTTTGAGGTTGCCAGTCCTTTGGGGGATGGACCGATCAGTTTGAAGTTCTGCGGACCGTGCTACTGATTGGCCAGGTCCTGGGCCCCTTGCTGCCATTCTCCGGCGGGGAGAGCGAAACCACGAGGCCGGCCTCCGGTGAGCGAGAACTCATGTCCTGCTCCGGGTGAGTTGATGCAGGCCGGCGGCAATGTGTCTCCGACAGCTTCGAAAAGATCCTTGGACAGGGTGTCAGGGTGTGCACCGCTATATTGGATACCACATAACTTGGGGATTTTCAGATGTTCACAAGTTGCTTTTCCACCCGTCCTTGAGCCAGTTGAATCCCGAGGAAAAGAGGCATCCATTAACGATGCTGCACAATACTTTGCACCTTGGATTTGCATGCCGCAGGAATAATCTTGGACGGTAGCTGAGTCGTCAGAATCATTTCTAGCTATTTGAAGGGGCTCCCCTGTGACTGAAACGTTTGTTGCCGTGTGGGTTGCAGCCCGGGGCAGCTGGTTTGCTGCCTGAGTAGTTGTGGCCTGCGGTGCAAAGGTCTTGAACAGATTCCACAGAATTCCAGCATTGAAAACAGTTTGTTGGATATTGAATTTGATTCGATTGACTTGCCATGGGCAGTAGTACTGTCCAAAACTGGTCCCATATTTTCAAGCTGCTTTCCATCATCAGGTTTGCTCGTCCCAAGTCCAAGTCAATTTGTGTCCATATCTCATGCAAGGGCATTACTACTAGCAACAAGAAGTCCAGAAGCTACTAGTTGATACATGTTGATACTAGTTGTACCTTCCTGAGCCCAGCTTGCTTTCCCCAAGACCGAGGTCGAATACAAGGGCCTCGACCCTGCACTGGTTGAAGAGCTCCAGGGACCCACGCGAAAGCCTTGAGGTGGGGCACAGATGAGAGGGGCCAAAACAACGCAGACAGGACCCAAGTGCCAAGTTCCGTTTAAGTGTTCACCCAGTGAGCTTTAGATTGCTTTTCTTTGGACTGACGCAATGTTGAAGCAACTCGCACATGGGCATTTGATGTCTTGATTTTCTCCTACCGTACCTTCTCATACTTTGCACGACTAGCTTGAGCTATGTTTCAAGAGGACATGGCAGGATCCCCGCCATCATGTCCCTCAGCATTTGCAGCTCCACGGCTTTACCCCAGCGTATTGGCAGCACGGCTAAAGATGACTTCCAAAGAGCAGCGTATCTTGGTGGAAGTGGAAGATCGGTAGAGTGGGTCGGAGGTAGTCTATCTATTATACTGCTGAGACGTGGCATCGAATCCCGCATGTTCACAGTGGTTACTCGATTCCTTTGAGTTTTTCCGACGGCAAGAGGACAAGCAGGTTTTCTTGTGAACGGGACTGTGAGTTCTTGTAAGTCTCACTTTTCTCAACTAGAGCTGGCCGAGCTACAAGATGCAATGAAAGTTGCCAGACTGCACCGACACACTGGTGAAATTGAGGCAAGCAATGGGAAGCTGAGCAGAAGACTTTGGCTGCACTCAGGGTCCAAGAAGACCTCCTGGATTGGTCTTGCAGCATGGCTGAAGAAAAGTGAGGCACAAGGATCACAAGGACCAGGACCGCCCTGCCAGGGCCATTTGCCACCTGCATAAAGATCATAAGAACACTTTTCTTGAGTACAAAATCATGAGGTGAAGATGGTTTTCCTGACCTGCACCGTGTCGCTGGCGTGGATGTCTCCTTCTTCGCAGATGGGACCTATGCCATTGCAACTGTGGTTGTGTTGAGCTTTCCACAGCTCCGGGGCGGCACACTTTTTGCAACCACTGATTTTGTGGAATGAGTGGTTCGGGAAGATCTCGAAGACTAGGTGACTGGGGGAGATTATTTAGACATTTAGACGGCATCAAGTCAATATGGGGCAGCCTGAACATGTTGAACCTTAGATGCCTTGTGTTGGGCAGGTTGAAGGTCTTGTGGGAGCGCAGTGCCGCTTTCCGGCTGAGCGTTCCCTATGTACCTGGCTTTCTGGCCTTTCGGGAGGCCAGGTGGAAGTCGGGTTGAGCATGCAATCACATACGATTTTGATTTTGTGATTCCTTACTTGTTGATCACTATGTGGAAGGGAGTGTAGAATTCAAGTGAATTCAAGTCACCAGTTCAAATTGCTCGGGTCACGCAGTCGAAATGTAATCCCTGCGATGCATGGAAACGAACCTCACGGCAGCACTTTGCGTGATGAGACTGAGACAGTCCTTTTCTTTGTTTTGAGGAGTTTCATGTCCATTGGCATCACTTGATGCATCTAGAAGTCATAATCTTTGGAAACCACATGCCATCCTCATCCTCATCCTAATCCTTTGAACATCAATTTATATTTATAAAAGTCAGCCTCTCAAATTGGGCCTAGCTAGCGCTGCCGCAGGTCCCAGCCTTAGCTCAGCTCATGGACTCCGTGCCATGCGCCTTGAAGCCCCAAGTGGTCCTTGTGGACGGGAACGGCGCCTTCCACCCACGCGGCTGTGGCGCGGCCACCCATCTGGGCATCACCGTGGATTTGCCCACCATCGGTGTAGCCAAGGATGTGCTTAAGGTGGGATATGCATATGCACATGCATGCAGATGTATGAGGATGCATCGGAAATCGTGGATCATCAGGCTCATCATGGGACCTTGTGGTTTGAGGATCTTTGAGGTCTCATTCTCCAAGGTCTCAGGTGCCTGATCCATTCCTTGACATTGAACAGACCATTGCTCGACCAAATGGGCGCACTCCGTCGCCTCGCAGTGCGGTCGCCTCACGGTGATCGACCGGTGTCCAGGTTGGGGAGGTGAACTCCTCCTTGGCGCGGCGAGTGAGCCTGACCTTGGCGCCGGGCCAGTGGGCGTCACTCTGCGAGGTGGCGGCGCTCTTCCGGCCCAGGACCGACCCAGCAGGGCGACTCGCGGCTCGGGCGTTCGGGCCATGACAGGGCAGTGGCGGCGAGTTTGGAGCATCGGCACATCGACAGTGTGCACCTGTTTTGGCCACCCATGGACTGTGGTTTTGAGGGATGAAGACTTCTCCAGTGCAATCAGAGTGGGGTGAAAACTAGCCAAGCTCTTCCTCGCTCACAATCTCTCTTTGTGTCTCCTCGAGACGATGCCCGGATTGATTTGATATTGGTCAACCATCAACCCGCAGGATGGGCAAGCCGTTGGTGGTGAGCCCTGGGCATCGCATCTCCCTGGAGACCGCTCTGCAGCTCACTCGGGCGATCTGCGGAACGTCTGCTCCAGAGCCAGTTCGTCAGGCGGGGGGAGCTTCCTGGAAGAAGCGTGAGCCATCCTGCGTCCTAGTAGTGTCCCAGTAGCTAGGAGCGTACAAGTTTGTCCGTTACTTAATTCATCTTAATTCATTAGCCGCCTACTTTTTCAAGTACTGTAAGGAAGCAGAGCCACGGGCAAAAAACGATGGGGCCAGCCTAGAGCTTTAATGGAGGGGGTACTGAGTCTCATTTTTTCATTTGTCAGTTAATTGTCGACATTGCAAACATAGGATGTTGGGGGGGCCCTCAACAAAGCTGCAACATGAGGAAGAACATGGTCTGACAGGAGAGAGGTAATAACTCCCCACCAAAAAGTCAATTAGTTTTGAGTTGGGGGAGGGAAAAGACTTGAAAGGTTCGAGAGGTAGATTACCTGTGAATTAATCTTCAGGATGGCAGAACAGCTGAGTTTTCTAATGCTCTTCCGTTTTTGCTGAGAGACAGAAATGCCATGAAATGAAAGGAATGGCAAAGGAATCAAACAGGAAGAAGAAGCATCAGCACTAGCAAAAGCTAAGCAACATCACAATAGTCAGCAAGATTTAGCAAGAATGAATAAGAATAAGAATAGAATAAAGAATCCGGAAAGAGCCCGGAGCGGATGGAACTTAGGCGGACCAACTTGGATCATCCTCCGCAACACCATGCAACACCATCAGGTCAGAAATGAATGCTTGGGTGGTTGAGTGCTTGACCACCCCTACGATTACTTAACCCTAGGCCCTTGAATTGATCTCCAGATCCAGCTACAAACCATGATAGGCACTCGGCTTCATTGCAAATTGAAGTATCATGTTTAACATCAATTTGCACTTGTCCAGTTCCCAATTAACTAATTCAAAAGGGGTTGGGTCAAAGAACTATTTCATTTTGACGGGGACCTAGTCACCCCCCTCCCTAGGGCCCATAAGAAAATGAAGTCTCTCTTCATCGGAAATGCAATTGGGCCTCAAACAATCGGAGTGCTCCTAGTAGTAATGCCCTTGTTACTAGTAGCGGTGCCCTTGTTACTAGTAGCGGTGCCCTTGTTACTAGTAGCTTCTTGCTCCTAGTAGCGATGCCAGGAGCGCCCCTGGTAGCTCCTAGTAGTAAAGCTGCTTTCTTCCACCCTTCGCGCTTCGCCCCAATCCAGGCAGATTTGCGGAGTCGCCGCGCTGTGAAAGCTTGGCATGCGGGGCAGGAGGCGACCAGGGCGACCGGTTCTGATGATTGAGAGCAACAGCTGGAGAACGAAGGTCACGTTGGATACGTGATACATGTCGTTTCGCATCGTTTCGCTTAGCGTGCTCTTCTGAAGCCGAGCTTCCAAGCTTCCGAGCTTCCGAGCTTCAGGTTTAGGCAGCTAGCACGTTGAGTTTGAGCGGAGTATGGGAAATCATGGAGAGCCATACTTTATCTTCCAAACCTGCGTTTGGGTCTTGGCATGTCTCGCACGAGTATTTTGTGGGGCCAAGCCCGTGAATGCCGGCAAAACATCGACATGCCTAAAAATTGGGTGGCGAAGGTGTCTAACATCGCCCAGGGCCCACAGCGGTCTTCTTTGGTTCGTTCCTTCGGGCGGCTTCGACACGGCAGACATCGGTCAGGTGGAGTATTTGTCCAATCCGCGGCTTCGACACCTGGAACGGGTGCAGGCGGTGCAGGAGTTGGCGGAGCAGGGAGAGTGGCCTGGAGCGCAGTGAGAACACGGAGTGGCACAAACGAAATTCAAGGCTCTTATAAATATAGAAGGGGCCCAAGGGATTTCCAATGTATTACTTTGTCATTTTATATTACGGTATGATGATGCAGATGCTCTCAGTGAGAACTGCATATGTTTGTGGAAGGTGTGGCAGCTCCTTCTGAGCACACATGGGTGTAGATTGAGACAGAGGTTTGCCCTTTGCTCCGTCGTTTCCTTGTGTGACTTCATAATCTGTGAGTGCATATTCCTGCAAGACAGCACATTGGTTAACGCTCAAAGGCAAATGAGAAGTGAGAGGGGAAGGAGGAGGGCTCTTTGTTTGTGCTTACTGGTAAGTAGAACTTTGGTTTGCCTTGCTTGACTGGTGCCTGGTGCAGTATCTTTGGATTTGGGTCGTTGTCCCCTCGGAATAAGCTGCACAATGTGGAGGAGGCCCTCTAGCCACAGCACCAGCCCCGGAGATCATCAAACATCAGCTTCATTCCCTTCCGTCCAAGGCGCCAATCATGAACCACTATCCACTCGTCGAGATAGGTGGACAAAAGGAGCTGATATCAATCCAAACACCTTTGCGTCCCATAAGTGGCAGGTGGACGCTACTAGGGGCTCCTGGCCTTACTACGAGTAACAAGAAGCTACCAGGGGCTCCTGGCATTGCTGCGAACGGAGCAAGAAGCTACGATCGGGGCGGTGTTGGATTCTCCCGGTGCATCAGGCCCAACGAAACCTCGTGGTACCGAGGCTGAGGACTTCAGAGCGCGTCGATGTGACGAGATCGAAGTGCAAATGGCAAGTGAAGGCTCCAGTGGTTCCCCAGGTGTCTCGCTGGCATCGTCTCGTTGGGTGGGCATCCCGCCCTCTTGGGGCGTCTCTAAACGGGCAGTCACCATTGTTTCATTCACAGACGGTAGTGGTGTTTCACGCTGTAACAGTGGGTTTTCCAAGTCCTGTTGACTTGCGACGGTCCATGGAGTCCAAGTCCCGAGGTGGAAGAGGACACAAGGAGACCGATGCGGCCGCTCTGAGTTCGTCGGAGCGGAGTTCGCGGTCGTTGGTCCTTGGTGGTCCAAGCGCACGTTGTTTTTGGTGGTTTTTGGCCCAAACGCTCCATTGGTTGAAGCCAATAGGGGGCCAGTTGACTCTTCATGTGGGATATTGCTCGTAGATTCCTTGAGCGATTCCTTGGCTTCGTGGGCATGCTAGGCAATCTAGACACACTTTCGTCCAGGACCTGGGGAAGCATTCTCTTTGGCTGGATGTGCGTATGCATGAGCAGAGATGGGCAGCCCTGAAATGGCTGACGAACGGCCCATCACGAACCCGACCGCGTCTCCCAACTTTGCTTCCAAGCACCGACAGTCGTGTCGGTGACAAAGGCCACTCCTCGCTGAGAAATCATATTTTAATGTCCCTTAGACAGATGCTCCAGTGTGTGCATCGAAGCACTTAGCCCATACACTTTGCTGCCATTCCACACCTTCGTTTGGTTCGCAGCGGCGCGACGTGTACAGACCTGGCAATGTTGTCCTAGCATGCCGACTGTGAGCTCAGATCAGCACAGCGATTTGATTACAGTAGCGAAACTTGCAACCCCAATCAACCTGGCTCCCATCACAGCAAAGTCCCGAGGTGATGCTTGTGACATGTCGGCCTTTAACTTGCAGCTCGAGCTGCTAGTGGCAATGTTGTTGGACCCATGATGGCGGCAAACCGCTGACATGGCGGCAACCCACGCGGATGTACAGTGCACCTCCAACGTGGTAAAAGTTGCATTGGACAGCCACCTCCATGCTGTGAGAACACTGAAACACTAAGAGCAAATCAGCTCGCTTTGCCAACATGGCCTGGAGCTGCCAAAGTTCGATCCGTGGCAAGAATCTCTGGTTCAGACGGCAACGTAGCCCGTTCACCAGCTAGGCTTTTTGCATCTCAACATGTGCAAAACCATGACCCGCTACAACCAGGTGACTTGGAAATTAAGGTGGCCGAGACAGAGCATGCTGCCTTTGACTCGCCTGTTTTTTCCTGTCCGAGGATTTATTTCAGAGTGCGGTTGTGGCGGATAAACTCGTAGAGACTTACAAGATCTTACAAGCATGTTGTCGCCTGAAAATGTGAGCTTTAGCAAGGGTGAAGCAGGGCAGCCCAGTGCAAATCGGTCAAGATGTGCAGGTGAGAATTGACTCTGTTGAGGTCACCGGGCATTTCGTGTTAAAGATTGGCATAGAATGCGGAAAACACCACCCAGACCGTCAGGTTAAACCCAGATTCTATTCCACACAGGCGCTTTCCTCCGCAGCTGCGGAGATCCTCCGTCCTCGACGACTTCGACTGAGGTGACCTTTGGAGATGCCGAGATCTTTGTCGTGAACACTTTCCTCCATGTGGGAGAGGTCACGGAGAAGATGGAGGTCCACAGCAACTGGGTACAAACGTCGCGGCGCGACAGATGGAGTGTACTTGGTATGCTGGCCGAGCTGATGGGTGTTGGCTGTTGGCTTCTGCTGTGGCCTAGGCCTCCCCAGAGTGCAGCATGCTCACGGACTAGGACGCAACATGGCTAGTCAAGTCCAAAGAATATAAAAAGGACATCGGGACACTTAATATCTTCTCCGAGCTTGACCAAACAACAAACTCAAACCTTAGCCTTGCAGCAGCTGATGCATGATAGGCTTGTGCTTTCTGTGCCCACGTCTTGGATCACCTTTCCAGGAAGGCCTGTTCCGGCTCGGTTGCCCAGGTAGTATCTCTGAACCGTTGCCCTGTTCCCATGAAGAGCTGGATGAGGAGGTTCTTCCAGTGGCCTCTTGGAAGACCTATGACTCGTATGACGACTCAGAGCCCTTGGTGCATAAGGTGGGTTGGATGAAATGGAGTGGACTTTGCCATCTCTCCAGAAAATGGCATGGATATGCAAAGAATGTTTACGAGCCCTTGTGTGTGGTGGATCGGCACCGATTCCAAGCAAATTCACCAGGTCCCAGAGAGACGCTCCTTCGGTCAGCTACGTTTGGTAAGTTGAAGAATAAACTTTAATATATATATATATTTTTTTTATAGTTACACACATATATATATAAATTAATAAAATTATAGTTATATCAATGACTTGCGTCAAACCTTGAATGCACTCGTTTTGGCCTTGAGGATTCGAAGCCGTGCAAGACAGCAGTAGAAACTGAGGGGGTGAACCCCTCTCAAGCCAGTCGTCAAGCTGACCTAATGATCAAAGTCAGCAAGGGGCACCATATCCCGGTCCAACACACTGGTGGCCACCTGGCAGGTGTCCACCTTGGAGTTCTTCGAGAAGATCAATGCCTACAACACCATCGATGACACGCCAGTGGCCAGGCGCTCCACTGAGCCTCTGATGGAAAGTGCGGCCTGGCTTGCAAGGTTAGCAAAGGAGAGACCCCCTGTGTTTGACCCTCTTCACGACGGGTGCTTCAAAGGAGAGACCTTGGAGCCCCCCTTGAATTCGCTCTTGAGTTCAGCAAGGAGTCAGTTTTGCATTTCTGATGATTTCTGATGTCTCTTCTTTTTCATTCGAGTTTGGGGCGGTCAGACTACCTTGTTGGTGATATTAGTTATATACTTGCTTTTGGTTGGCTCTCAGCTTCTGGGCGTTTGACACGGAACACTGGCAATCTCAGATTTCCACCTACGACTTCTTCGAGGATGAGCCGATGTTCGCCGACCCGCCTCAAGGAAACGTCGAGGCTCCGGGAAACTGCATGGCGTGCAAAAGAACGGAGAATATATATATATATATGTACGAGAATTAGGAGAAGTGAGGCAATTGCCGGACTGACTGTTTCTCAGTTGTGAGTTGCTCTGTAGCTGTGCCTCCATGTATTTTGGCACCGTCAGGCTAGGAGTTGAGACCACCAGGTCGAAGCAACGTGAGCGCCAAAAAGAGAGAGGGTCTCGAGCCATGGCACCTTTCTCGTTGCCTGCGTCAGGCAGCTCGAGAAAGGGCCAACACCTTCGACCCCTTCGAGGACTCGCCCCGAGGTGGGAAACATATGACACGTCATAGACACATTATGCCTCGACGAAAACAAACAATGGTGTCCGTCTTGTCCTTCGATGGAGGGTTGTTGGGGAAGACGGGACAACAATGGACAACACATTTTTCCTCGCAGGCTTGGTTTGCAGGGTGCGTTTGCCTCACTGGAGTTTGGTTGAGCCAACACCTGGTTTGGGCCGTTGGGTCGCCGATGTTTGGTGCAAACCTGGCCAGGTATGGCTTGGGCAGAGCCACTGGCGCCGCCAGTGGGAAAGCTTTGCACCTATGATCCATTTGAGGATTCTGAGATTCCCTGTGGCTGCCCAGAGCTCCTCTCAGTGCCACCTTGCCATCAGCCTGAGAAGGCCGACACTTGCTGAGTTAAGAGCCAATCACAATTCCTTGTGTGGGTGGCTTTCCGTGACTGAAGGCCATGCAAACACAGACAAACACACACACACACACATGCGTGCACAAAAAGAATGCACCCCTTTATGTCAGACTGGTTTCAAAAGCTACAAGCATGGGAATGAATGGTTGAATTAAGCCCAAGTACAAAGACAACCGTGAAGCCACCATAATTTTTTGGGATTCCCGATTCCTACACAGACTAGCTTTCGGTGGTCAATGCCGCTGAGGAGTGCGTGACGGCAACAAGCTTGGGTTGCAGTTGCACGGCACGTGGAGCTTGCACACCGTTGATCACATCCCGGGTGGATGGTAAGGAGCAAGTGCGCTGGAAGGTTGGATTCGGTGGTTGCCACATGTGTGCTGTTGGAATCCTCTGACTGCGCGAATTCCGCGTGGCGCGACTTTTAAGACCCGAAGACTCTGCCAAAGCCCTTCTTGCGTCCCTGCCTAAGGGCTGGACACAGACGGGTGAAACGGACATGATATGGGTGGTGCAGATAGCCATGAGAGAGCTTGACGGTTGGTGTTCTCAACAGTATTGACATGTGCTGACATGCATTAAATATATACAATATATAGGTTTTTAGGACCAGAGATCACTTTTGACCCACGCCAAGAGTTGAACAAAGATCACCAGCCAAGCCAATATTCTGAGATCATTAGAGATCAAACTGCTTGGAGATGCAGGTATTGTTTTGCTACAATCCCTAGATCCCACCGGGTCCTCAGATTGGAACAGGTGGACGGCCGGAAGTTGGAGTCGCAAGAGAAGCAAATGTTATCACCTGAGCTACTGGGCCGGATGCCGGATGCGCGTGGGGATGGGTTGCTGGTGTTGTCCATCGCTTCATATCGCCTCTATGCATCAAGGAACAGATTTGAACGCACGAGTTTCACCATTTTCTTTCTCAGGATCAAGCTTAACTTGCGCAGAGTTTGCACAAGATATTGATGTATATATATATATATATATAACGAAAGCCAGCCGATAGGCTTGGCTTGAGCTTTTAGAGCGAACGAAGTGAGTTAAGGGGGTGTGGGAGGGGAGGCACATTGAACCCGGAGCTTGGTGGGGGAGAGCGCTCCAAAGCGAGGGTCAGAAAAGCAGTGAAAATGTGGTCTGGTGATGCGAGTGATGCAATGGATGCAGAGTAGTGCATCATCAGCATCATGAAGGGCTTTGGAGGCTATTTGGACGAGGAGACAGGGACAGAAGTACAGAGCAGACCGCAGCCGCATGTAGGATACGAGTTCCCACGAAAGTGACATGAGTTCAACTCCATGAATTTGGACTGAATCTCGGCGGGGCTGCCTGCGAGGTTGACTACATATCCGCATAGGGTTCCTGCCTTGTAGCAAAAGCTGTACTTGCACCATGTCCTCGGTCGAGTGGATGCTTCTCGCGGCGCCCACACGCACCGAACGTTTTTCCGGCTTGCCGGTGCTGATAGGTAGATACGTAGATAGATAGAGATAGAGATAGAAGGATAGATAGATAGATAGATAAATTCTATGTACTACTGGCTCATGACGTCGCCTTTTTGCTGGCAGCCCTGGCCGAATCCAGTCAGCCTGGGTCCACGGCCCAAAGATCTACACACGCAGGTGCCAAAGTCAAGGCCTCTGAGTGAGAAAGGCGCAGAGTTGATAAGAAAGAGAAGAATAAAGAACGCGCGCATGCACGTGGTATCCCACCACTCGAACCCAGACTGCATTTCCCTTTCGCTAACGCTGATGTCGCCTTCCAACTTCCATAAGATGCATGCCTTCCTGTGCGTGACAAACACATGCCATTGCCTTGTAAGTGATGATGACCTACACCAACTTACGTAGCGCATTTCTCTTTCACTACTTCTTTCATAATTACCAAACTTATCCCACAGCCGCCCGGCTTGCTTCTCTGCTCCCTCAATCACCATTACAAACGCCCCCCCGCATCCGCGGCACCGCTGACTCGCAACCTGCCGACCATGTGTCTTGTGCCGCGACGCCCGCCAGAAAAAGAGACACTCGTCTGGCGGCTGCTGGCTTTCGTCCCCCCCTTCTCAGGTATTTACACACAGTAGTGGAGTTGCCCGGCGCACAGCAACTAACAAGGACATTTTGATAACCTTTCAAAGGGTGAACATTCTTTCCTCCAAGTCTTGGGCTTTCTCCTAGGTTCGAGCTGGACTTGCCAAAGGTGGGGCCGACGCCATTTCGCCTGATGATCCTCGCGAAGGAGCGCAGATTAACAGTGGAAGCCAGAAGAGGCGTCCCCCTTGCACGGACAATGGTTTTTGCTTGCTTGCCCGTGACTCACTGGAAGCTCCTGATTGCCATTCGGCCAAAAGTTATGCATCTCATTCTCTTCCGTGGCCAGACATTGCATACCTTACCACCTAGGCATTGGAAGGTTCTGTTGGGCAACGGGGCATGCCATCCTCATTTGTTTGCCATGCTGGCACTGCTGCCCAAGTCATCTGAAACCTCACGAGCCAGAGGCAGTGAGAGTGCCCTCGACAGTGCAAAGGCACCCACTACGAAAGGATGGTGAACAGGTAGGGTAGGGTGCTGCGTTTGCTCAGCTGCTAGCCAGCACTAGCCCTCTCAGCATTCTGCACCACATGTTGCCAGCAGGCGAAAGAATGTCAGTTTGGTGCCAGGGTTGCTTGACAGCTGGTGCACGCCCAGTTTGGAGTTGGGGGGTGATGTTGCTTGTGAATGTATCGTATCTCTTCGGTCTCCAGAAGAAATTCCCTTCAGGAGACCAGAGGAAAGGGCTGCCGTGGCTTTCTGAAGGCCAAAGGATGTGGACGGCTCTTCATCAAATGTGGAAGTTCTTCCTTGCCGGAAGGTGGGAATTCCGGGGCAGTGGGTGGTTACTGAACAAGGCCGTGTAGTTATAAATCTATACAGTATATTGAATGAATACCCGGAGAAGGTCAAGAAAGGCTTGGAGAGCTGGCCCTAATTTGCTTAGACATTAAGGGACAGCGACTGGAAAGGCAAAGAAACACAACATAAGAAGGGTCTGTTCAATTAGGGGCGGCATGTTTTGTTTAATTTACTACATAAGGGACAGAACGGCCTCATGTTCGAACCATTATTTCTTCTAATTATGCGTAGGAGCTGGCTTAGCAAGAACACCAGCGACATTGCCGTTGTTGACCGTTGTTGAATCTAGCCTTCTTTAGGAACAACCCACAAGCAGCAACAAGCGAAATTATGGGAGGAAGGCTCGCTTATATAGGGAATCTTGAGAGTGACAGTTGCTTATTTTGAGGGAAAGGTTGGTTGTACTTGTCTTTGCTATTGCCGCACCCACTTTTGTGTAAAATGCATTGGTTTCATAGGGAGGCTCACAGGGAGACCTCACTTAGCAGGGAAACTTCCTTCTGACTTCAGGTTGACAGGCATGCTAAATGGCCACCGTAGGACTTCGGACGAAGGTGCTCCGAATAATGGCCATCCTGCGGATCCTGCGGTTCCGGTTGGTTGGTGAACCCCATGTTCACTGACATCACTAGCCAGGCATTCAGCCCATGGGATTCCGCGTCACAGTGGGAGCCGGGAGCTCCGCAGAGATCAAGGCAGTGGCAGCACATGAGTTTTCGGAGCCACTGGCCAAGCAGATTTGTCAAGCAGAGACGCCTAAATTGGATGGTCAGTAGTGCCAAGTTGTATTGCCCAACGGGACTTATATATATATATATAATTGTACAAGTTTCTAGTAGGTTCATTCCAGCCAGATGTATCCCCGTTAGAATTTCTTCTATGAAATGGTGGGCCTTGAGGCCACTATAAAGAGCGATCATTCTGTAGTCAACCCATTTTTGGTCCTTACAAAATGGCACCCCTATCTACTTACCACGTCATTTTGTAAAGAGCGTTCTTGAAGGCTCTGGCCAAACCAGCCATTTTGTAGAGAAAAACGCGACGTCAAAAATGACAAAACTGGTCTCATTTTGTAGAAGAGATGTAATTTTGTGGGGGAAATATGTGTCTCTACCAAATGGCACCTTGACTACTGAGATTTGTGGGACAACCCATCATTTTGTAGATGAATCACGCGCGCACTTATTCAATTCTACAAAATGACTCATTTGTCAAATTTGTAGGTTTTTCGCTGATGTTTTAGAGGTCATTTTGTAGGAGGTGCAATTCTGCAGAGCCGCATAACCGCCGTTTTTCTACAACATGACTGTCATGACCCTGACTCACGACCTCACCCCCTAAATTTCAACGTGTCACTAGTGGTGTCATATACAGCAACCGGCCTGCCAAACGCCAAGCAGCAGGGCCGGAGAACACCGTAGAACACATGACCTGCAGGGCTCTAACAAGCTGGATTTCCGGGGCCGCACCGGCAACCGAGGCACCCTTGCTGCCCCCTCCAGAAGGACAAGGAGACTTGGGACCTTCTGGTCGCCATAGATGAAGCCACCAAACGCTTTGAGGTCTTGGTCGAGGTGCTTTGACGTAAGTAACTTCCTGAGGTGTAAAATCACCGAAAGAGTGCAATGCCCCACGGCCCGTAGCTTTGAGTTTTGTTTTCTCAGTATCTTCACATTGGTTTGGTTTGTTCTTAGCGACGGTTGGAGCTGGAAGGGCAGGGGAAATTAGACTGCAAAGGTGACTTGTGAAGCGAATGTAGCCCTGCAGTCATTTAGATTCGAGGAATGTACAGTTCAAGCGTTGGATAGCCCCGCATAGTACAGTTGGCAGGGGCATGTCCAGCGGTTAGATATTGCATGTGCTATGCCATTTTCCTGCGCACCCATGGTAGACCATGGTTCAAAAATGTTCAAAATAAGGTGCCCTTTGCGCTTGGCCGGACTAGTTGAGGAGATCAGGGATGATCAGGGGCGTTGGCCATTGGGTGAATTGATCGTTTTGCGGTGAACTTGCTTTAATTGGATTTGGTTCTAGACTCGGCCTTTCTCAACAGTACCATGCCTTCATGAACCCACTGATGCGCAGGTATTGCAGCCGCCAAAGACCGCAGGTGTGGCCCAAAATAGGCTGACCGGGATTGAGTAGAGCGCGTCATGACCCAAAGCAACACGGAACGCAGTCAACGAAGTCTGCCAATGGAGTCCGTGGAGTCCAAAGTAAGCATTGCACCTACTGCACGTGCATACAACATCATACTATATACTGTAATAATATATGATGTATGTCCATTATACATATATATGATGTATGTACTGTAATTAGTGTCCAGGTTGAGGGATTTCCGACTGGCAAGGTTCAAGAATGCTCAAGTCACCCAATCCATGTGAATTTGATCGCTAACATCATCATCGTCACCACGACCATCATCAT